AGGGAGAAGCAGGCTCCCCGCGGAGCAGGGAGCCCGATGCGGGGCTCGATCCCAGGACCCTGGGATCATGACCTGAGCCGAAGGCAGACACTTAATGACTGAGCCACCCAGGCGCCCCATAAAGGCATAATATGTTTTATATTTTATATATTTTTATATATTATGTATGTAAATATACATAATACATATACATATATATAATACATATCTATATATTATAATATATAACATATATAATATAATATGCTATAATATAACATGTTATATGATATATAATGATATATGTTATAAATATATAACATATACTATAATATATATGTATGATTTACATTATATATAAAAATACACAATGTACAAATATATATATATACTTATGTACATAATATATGCATAATGTGCAAATATATATATTTTTTTACCCTAGGGAAAAGTGCAAAGTTATACGTATAGAGGCAGACTAAGAACATCAAATGAGAGCATGCAAGTGTATGTTTCGGCTGAGCTGTGTCTTCTGGAGTACCCAGTTTATGTTGGTTCTTAATATTCGTCCTGTTATTGAGAAAGGAAATATTTGCTTGACAGTTTTTTTTTTTAATTATTTGAGTATAGTAGACACATGCTGTATACTTTATTACATAAACATGTCCAAGAGGCAATAAATTCAGTACTAAAAGCATGAACTTTGGCCACAATGGCCCAGGTTCGATTTCAAGTTCCACGGCTTGCAAGCTGTGTGAACTTGGGCAAGTTGCTTCACCTCTCTGTGCTACAATCTTCTCATCTGGAAAATGGGGATAATAACAGTACCTCCAGGGCTTTTGAGAGAACTGAATTCACTAGTATTTTAAAACACGTGGAGCAGTGCCTGGCACTAGGTAATTGCTAGGTTGGGTGATTTTTTTTTTTAAGATTTTTTATATATATATTTTTAAAGATTTATTTATTTATTTGAGAGAGAGATTGAGAGAGCAAGCAAGAGAGCACAGCAGGGGGAGTGGCAGAGGGAGAGGGAGAAGCAGGCTCCCCATTGAGCAGGGAGGCCTTCCCTGGGCTAGATCCTAGGCTGCGAGGATCATGACCTGAGCCAAAGGCAGACGCTTAACCAGCTGAGCCACCCAGGCACCCCATTTTTTAAATACATTTTATTTATTTATTTGAGAGAGAGAGAGAACACACAAGCCTTGGGGAGGTGACAGAGGGAGAGGGAGAAGCAAATTCCCTGCCCAGCAGGGAGCCTAACATGGGGCTGGATCCCAGGCCCCAGGGATCATGACCTGAGCTGAAACCAGGTGCCTAACCAACTGAGCCACCCAGGCACCCCTGGGTGATTGTTAAATAAGAATATTTATTTTTCTTTGGTTGTCAGCCTCCCTTACTAGAGGCCAGGAAGGGAATTGGTCTGTTTGTTCTGTGTGGTGTCCCTGGCACCTAGAACAATGCTCAGTAAATGTTTGTTGGATTTCCATTTTAAAGATGAGAAAACTGAGATATATAGGTATTTGGTTTTTCCTCTTGACACTCAAGCTCCATCCTAGATCAGCAATTCTGAGGGTGGGACCCAGGCATCTGTATCTGTATTGTTAAAATTTTATTTTAAAATGTTTAATTGTGAAATATACATATCATAAAATTTACCATCTTAACCATTTTTAAGTCTCCTGTTCAGTAGGGTTAATGACATTCACGCTGTCCTGCGACAGTCTCCAGGAATATTTTCATCTTGCAGAACTGAAACTCTGTACCCACTAAACAACTCCCCAGTCCCCGGCATAGGTGTCTTGCCAGTGGTGACACTGGGATATGAACCCAGGTAGAGTGTAGTATGCGAGTAAATGAAGGAAGGCAAGATCAAACCTTGCAGCGGGGAGGACTGTGAGAAACCCAGGAACAGCCCTCGCTGCCCCGGCTCAACCATCCGCCCCTCCCTGCTGCCTGCAGCTTCGGCCACATTTGAGGACTTCCAGATCCGCCCGCACGCCCTCACGGTGCACTCCTACCGAGCGCCGGCCTTCTGTGATCACTGCGGGGAGATGCTCTTCGGCTTAGTGCGCCAAGGCCTCAAGTGTGATGGTGAGCGGAGAGGACCTGGAGGCGAGGCCCAGAAGTGTGTGTGGAGGGGACAGGAGGGTAGGGCGGGGGTGGAGCTCAAAGGTAGGAGGCGTGGCTCGGAGGGAGAGGTAAGGGCTCAGAGGCGCACCTTGGGGGAGGGGCTGGGGAGGGGCTTGAGTGATGGGTGGGGCCCGGGGCGGGGCTCAGCTCCGGAGGTGGAGCCTGATTTGGAGCTCCGAGGGAGAGGTAAGGGGGCAGAGCTTGGGGGAGGAGAAGGGGAACGTGCACAGGGAAGAAGGTGGAGCCTATAACAGGAATCACCAGAGAAACAGCCAGTAGGAGGTAGATATTAAGGGATATTTGGAAGGAATTAGCTTACAGGATTGTCGGGGCTGGCCAAGCAACTCTGAAATCCATAGGGCGGCCCATCAGGAAGGGCAGGCTGGACTCCCGGGCAGAATTTCTTCATCTGGGGAAATCTCAACTCTGCTTTTTAACCTTTCAACTGATTGAAACGGGCCCACCCAGATTAACTAGAATACTCTCCCTCACTTCAAGTCATCTGACTGTGGACTTGAATCACACCTACAAAATACCCTTACAGCAAACCCTACATTAGCATCTGAATTACTGGGGTTGACACATAAGCTGACCATTAGAGTCCACTCCTTATTGACTTGGCCCCTCAGTGTGCCAGGGCTTGCCATAACAAAATACCCACAGGCCGAGTGGTTTAAACAACACATATTTATAACTCATGGTTCCAGAGGCTGGAAAGTTTAAGATCACGCTTCGGACAGGGCGTGGTTCCTGGTGAGAACCCTCTTTTCTGGCTTGCACACGCCTGCCATCTCGCTGTGTAGCTCACATGGTGTGCAGAGAGACACAGTTTCCCTTTTATAAAGACCCAGGTCGCATCGGATCAGCGCCCCACCTTTATGGCCTCATTTAACCTTAATTACCTCCTTAAAGGCCCATTCTTCAAACACAGTCACATTGTGGGTTAGGGCATCAGCTATGACTTTGGGGGGATGGACACTTGTTCAGTCTACAACAAGCACCCATGCACATGTCCTTCAATCATACTTAAAAAAATAAAGGAACACACCAGTGTGTCTCAAGGTTAAGCCCAAGTGTTAGGTTCTGCAGGTCCACTCTTCCCATCTTCCACGCTTCTGAGCGAGAACATTGAGATCTTGCCCCACCTGCAGACGAAGGCCACACAGCCGCCTTGCCAATACACACAGCAGATGAAGATCATCCATTCTGTGAAGACTGCACCTCCATTAGAAGCATATTCTTGGATGTTCCATCATCCAAGGACCTCCAGCTTCGTGGCGGTCACGCTCATATGGAAATCTCGAGTCTTCAGTGCCCCTAGTGTTCCAGATGACCTGCAGCATTGACCAGGATTGTTATTACGCAGCCCTAAATATACCTGTGGCGTTTAGGTGCTTGAGGGATGCTAGCCACGTCAGGCCTGCAGAAAATCGATTCAGTGCGTTCAAAACTGTTATCAGTACTGCCATTGTGCACAAACCATATCCAACTCTTGGTGTCTTGGCTTATGTAACCTTCATCATGGCTCAATCCTGGTGTCATCAAAAAAAAATTTATTTTTTTATTTTTTTTGAGAGAGAGAGAAAGAGCATGCATGCACGTGGGCAAGCAGGGAGGATGGGGGAGGAGCAGAGGGAGAGGGAGAAAGAGAATCTTAAGCAGGCTCCATGCTCAGCAAGGAGCCTGATGTGGGGCTCAATTTCACGACCCTGAGATTATGACCTGAGCGGAAACCAAGAGCCAGACGCTCAACCGACTGAGCCACGCAGGAGCCCCCTGGTGTCATCGAGTCTAATGGGCACCCTCAGCACGGACTTCATTGGTTCAACATCACAGATGATGGTCCTCGTTCATGTGATTCCAATGGAGTCCCAAATGACTGTTTTTTTTTTTTTTTTAAAGATTTTATTTATTTATTTGACAGAGAGAGACACAGTGAGAGAGGGAACACAAGCAGGGGGAAAGGGAGAAACAGGCTTCCCGCGGAGCAGGGAGCCCGATGCAGGGCTCAATCCCAGGACCCTGAGATCATGACCTGAGCCGAAGGCAGATGCTTAACGACTGAGCCACCAGGCGCCCCTCAAATGACTGTTCTTAATGCCATTAACACCTTCCGATGGGAGTTTGACTCTACCTTGATACTCACATGGGGAGTCACGGATGAGATTTTGAAATGCCCCGAAGCACATGAGTGAGCAAAGGCCAGCGCTGGAAAGTGTTTCCTGTTCGCAAAGGCCATTTGCCATCCCGAAGCTCTTGTCATAGCACCACCTTCGGGAAAGCCTATGACAGCCAGGCTACCAGAAGACAGCCTTCATGAGGCGGTCCCAAAGAAGCTTTCAAAGGCTGGAGGAACATTCTTCACTCCTGAACAGGGCACCATCCTGGAATCATTTGGAATCTCTGGAGATGTATGGGAGCAAGGGTTCAGGAAGCCCGCCAGGAAAACAGCAAGCTGAGCCTGATTCTTTCATGGACGAGGATTTTGGATTTTTTTTTTTTAATGATAAACTAGGAAAGAAAGGATCATAAAGTCATACTTCCATCTGATACGGTAGAACCCTCCCGAGTACAACTGAAAACATGCTAACCCTTTCCCCGGAAGATGGGGATGCTTGTTCCCTCTTTTCCTTCGATGGCCTGTCATTTAAATACGATACAGTGCTCCCTTTGGCAGCACCTGTACTAAAATGAGGCCAATACGGAGAAGAGTAGCATAGCTCCTGCGCAGGGATGATGCGCACATTCCTAAAGCATTCCATATTTAAAAAAATAGTAAGTATTATGTTAGGTGATAGGGGGATAAAAGGGAGAACACACAAATATTTGGTGTACACCTATATATAAGGAAGAACCAGTCATTGCCAGTACGCTCCTCCTTTGTGCAACTGGTCACGTGGTTGTGGCCGCTTTCAGCCACTACCCAGTCCACATTCCCTGGGCCCTCAACAAGCGCCTCACCTGCTCATGGTTCTTTGCCTGGTGGCCCAGAACCCTCCAGGCCGGTAGCGGTTCTACCCGATTTGGGTTTTTGTAGTTTTTCCTCGGCTTTAATGGCACCCGTAGGGGGTTCTCCTGAGAGATCTGCTGTATTCCTAATCTACCAAAAGGGGAAAGGGGCGGGGCAGAGCTTTGGAGCCCAGGACTGGTGCAAGTATGTCTCTGATCGTCTGGCGCCCCCCGCAGGCTGCGGACTGAACTACCACAAGCGCTGTGCCTTCAGCATCCCCAACAACTGCAGTGGTGCCCGCAAGAGGCGCCTGTCGTCCACGTCTCTGGCCAGTGGCCATTCTGTGCGCCTCAGCACCTCAGAGTCCCTGCCCTGCATGGCTGATGAGCTGGTGAGGGGCTGGGGAGCGGGTGGGCTGGTGGCGGGGGGAGGGGGCCGGGCGACAGGGCCCGGGCATGGGGCTGCGCACTAATGTGTCCCCTCCATCCTGCTGACCGCAGAGCCGTAGTACCACCGAGCTCCTGCCTCGCCGCCCCCCGTCATCCTCCTCATCTTCGGCCTCCTCCTACACGGGCCGCCCGATCGAGCTGGACAAGATGCTACTCTCCAAGGTGAAGGTCCCGCACACGTTCCTCATCCACAGCTACACGCGGCCCACCGTCTGCCAGGCTTGCAAGAAACTCCTCAAGGGTCTCTTTCGCCAGGGCCTGCAGTGCAAAGGTCAGCGGGGCCCCCCGGGGGGGGGGAAAGACGGGGTCAGAAGGCCCCGACACAGACACACACTCGCTCAGCGGCTTGGGGCCTCTCTCACCTGGGCTCGTGGCAGGACCTAAGACTCCCAGTACTCTGGGGGCACCTGGCTGGCTCAGTCGGTGGGGCCTGAGACTCTAGATCTCGTGGTTGTGAGTTCGAGCCCCATGTTGCATGTGGAGATGACTTAAAAATAAAATATTTAAAAAAAAAAGAAAAGAAAAGAAAAAGAGAATCCCAGTATTCTGATCCTTAGGAGCACAGGGCCTCAGGAGAAGAGCCCTGAATCCTGGTGTTCTAGAACCTTTGGAATTCTGGAATCCTAGAACCTTGGAAATTTAGATCTATAAACCACTTAGCATGGGATTCTAAAACTGTAGAACTTGAGAATTCTAGAACCATAGAACTGGAATCGTAGGCTTCAAGAATTCTGGATCTCAGAATACTGAAACTTTAGAAACATCAAATGCAAACCTTAGAAGTCTAGAATCATAAACCCTTGGGACCATGGAATCCTAGAGTCCTAGACATCTAGAGTACAGAACTCTGGATTATCAGATTCTAGAATACCAGATGTCTAGATCCATAAAAATTTAGAGCCATCCAATTCTAGAATCTAGGGTGTATGGAATCCTAGAACCTTGGAAACCTTAGATTCTGGAGGATTCACAGTCCAGAATTATAGAACTATAGAATCACTGATTTCTAGAGTTTAGATATAGAAAACCCTAAAACCTTGGACATCAAGGAGGCTTAGCAGTCTAGAATCATAGAACTGTAGAATCATAGATGTGTCAAGTTCTAGACACTTGGACATTGAAACTTGGAGTCTTAGAACTCTAGAAAAAAATATCTATAATCATACGGGGATGTGCTACTGGAATCTCGTGGGTAGAAGTCAGGGATGGTTGCTAAACACCTATGATGCACAGACCAGGCCCCCGCAACAAGGAATTCCCCAGCCCCAACTGGTCTAGACTCAAAGATGGACAAGCAGAGAAGGTTCAGCTAGGTTTCCTGCCCCAAACCGCAAGAGCAAAATCTTTTGGGCCTGGGGGTTAGGAGTCAAGGTTCAACCCTTACAGGTGACCTCTGTCTCCCCTTCCACCTGTCCACTTGTTCCCTGTCCTCATACCAGACTGCAAGTTTAACTGTCACAAGCGCTGTGCCACCCGCGTCCCTAACAACTGCTTAGGGGAAGCACTCATCAATGGAGGTGAGAGGCTGTGGGCTGAGCGGGAAGGGGGGGTGCGGGACTGGGCGGAGGCCCCTCTGATGCCCCCGTCCCCCTAGATGTGCCGATGGAGGAGGCCACCGATTTCAGCGAGGCTGACAAGAGCTCCCTCATGGATGAGTCGGACGACTCTGGGGTCATCCCAGGCTCCCACTCGGAAAACGCCCTCCACGCCAGTGAGGAGGAGGAAGGCGAGGGAGGCAAGGCCGAGAGGTACCCGGGGCACCCTTCGGGCAAGGCCCTGTCTCTACAATGGGCCGATGTCCCCCTGTAAATTTCCCAGGCACCCACACTTTGTTTTTAAATTTTACCTTTTTCCTGAAAAATGTACATTTTTAGAAAGTTCACATTACATAGAAGCAGATTTTAATTTAGAGCATATTTCTTTTTCGGAACTGCTAATCCAGTCAATCAAAAGGTAGATAGTCAAACCCTCCTGCTTCCCTGCCTCCCAGCTGCTTAGCTCCTCTCTCCGAGGACATCACTGGGATCAGCTGCTGGCAGGCCCTTCCAGAAACAGTCTGTGTTGCAAAGTGACAGAGCAAAGAGTAAGAACGTGGGAATCTGGAACCAGAGTGCTGTATGGCCTTTGGCAGGAGATTAACCTCTCTGGGCCCTCAGTTTCTTAATCAGTAAGATGGGGCTAAAGTAGGACCTACCTTTGAGGATTGTTGTAAGGGCGAAGCGAATGAATACGAATGAAGTACCTAAAATAGCGCCTGGGTGTTAGCTCTTCTCGCAGAGCAGTCAAATCTTAGAAAGGAAGGAAAACTACCCACTTTCTTTTAGCCATTTTGGCCTCAGATTGACTTGTATGGCCTAAACAAGTCCCTTGCTCTTTCGGGGCCTTAGTCTTCCCATCTGTAAAATGGGGAAGGGGAAAACCATCCCCAAGGACCTGATGGGCAGTGGCTCTCTTCTGGCATGGAAGCTCTGAAAAATAACAACCTGCTTAATTTTACATTTTTAAATTATAAATGGGATTCATATTGATTCAGTTTTCTACTAGCATAAAAGCTCAAGTGCTTGATGGCAAGGATCCAGTGGGTAGAGGTCAGGTCAGGTCCATTCTCCAGGTGCCTAGGACGGGGCCTGGCTTCAGGCATAGGTGTGGAATGCCTGTGTGTCCGGGAGGCAGGAAGGCAGCAGGGTTTTGGAAGCCCGGGGCGCTGGAGGCTGAGAGCACCAGGGCTAGGTCCCAGCTCTGCCACTTACGTGGTGAGTCACATCTCCCTGCGCCTCGGTTTCCTCCTGGGGCAATGACAGCAGCACCTGTCTCACGGGGTGATTTTCGAATTCCATTAGACCATGTGGGTCAAGTGCTTGCTGGGTTGTAAACACTGAGGAGATGGAGAGAGAATCCTCCCCGGTACTCTGTTCTTGAATCCCCAAAGGGCAGAGGGTGGGAGGTGATCCGGAGTATGGGGACAAATATTTGCATTTCCATTTCTCTTTACTTTTAATCTCATCTTTTAGATGTTTTCACTTTTGTGCATATGTTTTAGAATAATACTAATACACTGTTACTGGTATATTCTATTAATACAGTAATACATGTATAAATAAGGATAACCTGTGGATTGAAACCATCATTGATGTATAAGTATTTGTTTTTGAACTAAATCCTCAGAAGGACCATAACAATCACTATCCCCATTCCTAGGTTAGAAGATTGAAGCTCAGGGGTTTCAGCCAGTAATTACTAAGAGAAAGGAGCTGAGACTTCACCCCACAGGGCCAGGGAGACATAAACGTGGGGAGGAGGGTGAGCCACTTCCACAGTGCTTCAGTAGACACTTAATGAGCACCTACTGGGTTCTAGGACTTCCAAGCACACAGCTGTGAACCAAACCAGGAAAACTCTCTGGCCTCATAGAGCAGACACTCTAGTTGGCGAGACAGGTAATAAACAGATGCATCCATAGCATCAGGTATTGATGATTGCTATCGAAAAAATAAAAATAAAGCAATGAGAGGGGCCAGAAAATGAAGATATGCCATTTTAGTTAGGGTCATTAAAGGGAGCCTCTCTGAGGAGGTGACATTTGAAGAGATCTGAAGGAGGGGAGGAAAGGAGACATGTGGAAGATAGCTTGGTTCCCTACCAAGCAAAGGGAACAGCAGGTGCAAAGGCCCTGTGGTAGGGCCAAGCATATTCCAGAAATAGCATTGAGCTTGGTGTGGCTGGAACAGGGAGGCCAAGGGGAAGGGGATGGGAAACCAGGCCAAAGGGGAGATGGGTATGCCAGGTCTTTCCTGGAGTGTTTAGTAACAGAATAAGTGGGTGTCAGAGCTGGATCTTGATTGACTTGGGTGCGGTGGGGCTGTTGGGAGAGACAGCCTATTTCACAGATGAGGAAACCAAGTCTCAGAGAGGCGAAGGGAAATGCCAAGGCCAACCGAGTCCTGTTTAGTGCAGGGATCAAGGGGTGGTTGGTTCTGGAGTTGAGCAAGTCTGTGAATCTCTCTCAGCCTTCATTTCCTCTCTGTAATAATAGCATGTGCATGGGATAAGGGCAATGAGGCACAGACAGGTTGAGTCGCTTGCCTCGTGTCACACAGCCGGATCCACAATCACTGGGCTCAGTACTAATTAGCACTTATCGGAGGCCCACTGGGTGCCAAGCATTGTGCTAAACGCCTAAGAAAAGTTTTCATTCCTCACAGCAACTCCTTTGGGTGGAGAAACCGAGGTACACAGAGGTTAGGTGATTTGCCAGGCAGCCTGACTTCGGAACCCAGCTTTGTAATGTGGCCTTCTCAAGAGTCCCCTTCCTCATTATGGGAAATGTGGAAACCACAGAAATATGGCCCAAAAAAACCCCAACTCCTGGCTGCCCAGAGATGCGCCCTGCAGCCCCAAGTGCTTATGGGTATTTTCCACTTGTAACCTCTCGCCTCTTCCTCTCCCCCTCCCTCTCAGCTCCTTGGGGTACATCCCGCTGATGAGGGTGGTGCAGTCGGTGCGACACACGACGCGGAAATCTAGCACCACCCTGCGCGAGGGCTGGGTGGTTCATTACAGCAACAAGGACACGCTGGTGAGAGGGCGGGGTGGGGGCTATGTGGGGCGGAGCTAGAGTTAGGGGAGGGGCAAGCTCCGCTTGAGGAGGCGGGGCTGGTGAAGTTATGGTGGGCGGGGCCTAGCTGGAGGCGGAGCTAGAATTAGAGGGATGGGTTCTAAGGGAGGGCGAAGGGGCAGGGCAGGAGTCAGGGAAGAGGCGGGGCTAAGGACAAGGTCAGGGGAAGAGTGGGACCAGGAACGGGGAAGCTGAAGTTAGGGTAGGGTGCGAGAAGGGTTCAGGTTATAGAGAATGGGATCAGGGGGTGCTGGGCCGGGCTAGAGGCCTGACTGGAGGTAATTAAGTGGGGGTGTGATACAGGGTGGGGCCAGGTGGGGCGAAGTTGGGAGGGAGGCGGGGGAGGGCTTATAGTGGCGGGGCCAGGTCTGGGCAGGTAGGAGATAGGGGTGGGGCAGGTTTAGGGGCAGAGGAGCGTGGCTGGAGGCTGACCTAAAGTCGGAGAGGAGTTATGGGGCGGGGCAAGGTGGGGTGGAGCCGGAGCTAAGGCGGGAGGGGCGGGATCAATTTGACAAGGGAACGAGGTGGGGGTGGGGGTGGGGCTGGAGTTAGGGATGGGCGGGGCCTTACTGGAGGCGGAGCTAGAATTAGAGGGGTGGGTGATGAGACGGAAGGGGTGTGGCCCTCTGGGGGCGGGGCTAGACTTAGGGGCGGGGTTTGGCTCCGGGAAGCGCTGGAGCCCCAGCCACGCCAAGGGCGGACCACCTCACTTTCTGGAGCACCTCTCCCAACAGAGGAAGCGGCACTATTGGCGCCTGGACTGCAAGTGCATCACGCTCTTCCAGAACAACACGACCAACAGATACTACAAGGTGGGCCTTCCGGCCCCCATCACCCCCAACCTCCTCCTCCCACTCCTCTCCCAGTTGCTTGCGCCTGCTTGCATGTCATCAGAAAATGGGCCTTCCCGGCCCCACCACTTTCCAGCTGGGGAACCCGGACGTCTTACCTCACCTCTCTGCGCCTCCCGTCTGGCACCTGTAAAAGGCCTCAAAGACTAGTCCTCGCCGCAGGGCTGCTGCCCTAATTCAGCGATCACCTCCGCGAAGCGGTTAGCTTAGGGCCTGGCTTGTGTGGAGCTCCCTGTTACCATTACTACTTTAAAATGAAGTATTGGATCATTTATCAGTATCTCTCATCACCCGCCATGGCCGCACCGTGCTCTGGGCCGTCTCCTCCTGGGTCCTTGCTTCTGCGCTTGCCCCCACAGCCTTGTCCCACATAGCAGCCAGAGAAGCCGAGAAAACCGTCAGAACCCTCCCTTTGCCCCTTAAAATAAAACTCGGACGCTTCGGGGTTGCCTGCTCTGGAGCAGCTTCCCATGGGGGGGTGCCTTCTCATCCTTCCTGTATTCTCAGCCACACTAGGATGCTGTCCCCACCACGTCTCTGTCATCCGCTTTTATTAGCTGTGTCAGTCTGTCCCTGTTTCATTCTTTCGTTATTTTAATTCTTTTCTCCCCCTTCTGCAAATGTGGCCCCCACACACATACTTTCTCTTCCAACGCTTTCCAAAGCGCGCTCTTTTCACTCCACACAGACCCTGCACCTTCTCTCCCCGTCCACTCCCCTACCCCCCCCCCCCGCCCTCTCAGCCTCCTTTTTGGTCTTGGTCTCCTGTCTCAGTCCCATCCTTTCCCGTCCACCCTCCGCACACAGCCAGAGACCTCCCCCTGCCTTGCTCTGAACCTTTCCAGGATTCCCCACGGCCCTGGAGACAAAGCCCAGCTTCCTCTCTGTGGCCCATGAGGCCCCTCAGGGCCTAATTTCATTTGTTCACCAAACCTGGCACACCTCCTGTGTGTGATGGGAATAGAACATGTCCCTTGAATACCAGCCTTTCCCACATGCTGTTTCCGCCATCCCCCACCAGCTGGCCTCATCTTAGCTTTTTATTTTTATTTATTTATTTATTTATTTATTTATTTATTTATTTATTATTTTATTTTATTTTTTTAAAGATTTTATTTATTTATTTGACAGAGAGAGAGACGGCGAGAGCAGGAACACAAGCAGGGGGAGTGGGAGAGGGAAAAGCAGACTCCCCGCGGAGCAGGGAGCCCGATGTGGGACTCGATCCCAGGACCCTGGGATCATGACCTGAGCCGAAGGCAGACGCTTAACGACTGAGCCCCCCAGGCACCCACCTTTCTGATCTCTTGCTTCATGTAACTTCTGCCAGGAGGCCTTTTCTGACTACTCTATGCAAATCAGGCCCTTTCCCACAGATACTTGCTTCTATGTGCTCTTCTGAGTAAATGGGGAGCCCCAGGGTCTGCCTGGCATCCTCACTGGTGCTGGTTCTTTGTCCTGCCAGGAAATTCCACTGTCAGAAATCCTCACCGTGGAGCCCGCCCAGAACTTCAGCCTTGTGCCACCAGGCACCAACCCCCACTGCTTTGAGATCGTCACTGCCAATGTCACCTACTTTGTGGGCGAGACGCCCGGTGGGGCCCCAGGGGGGCCTAGTGGGCAGGGGGCCGAGGCTGCCCGGGGCTGGGAAACGGCCATCCGCCAGGCTCTGATGCCAGTCATACTCCAGGATGCACCCAGCGCCCCAGGCCACACACCCCACAGTAAGTCCCCACCCTGGGCCCTGAGAGGATGGGTCTGGGAGGGCTTGTGTGGGGTTCCAGGGAAGGGAAGAGCCAGGAAGAAGGCAGGGAATGGCACAGTGGACAATGTGGATTCCAGACGCAGCTGACCTGAGTCCAAATCTCCATTAAGCCCCAGACCTGATGTGTGGCCTTGGGCATGTCACTTCCCTTTTCTGAGTCTTGTCCCAGGTGGTGACAACTCCTCCAGAGTTGTGAGTTCAGAGTATTTCATTCAGATATTTACTGAGTATCTTCCCCATCCTGTGCTGGGCAATGCTGGGGACATAGCTGTCACCAAGACAGCCTAGGACCTGCCCTCACAGGGCTCACCGTCCGGTAAGGGAGACAGACCTGTCCCCAAGCAGTTACAACTCAGAGTGGGCAGGGCTGGGACAGGGGAGCCAGAGGGCTGTGGGAGCTCAGAGGGGATACATGATCCAGCCTGGGTATCTAGGAGGGCTTCCTGGATGCGGCAACATCTGAGCTGAGACCTGGAAGCTGAGGAGGGCTGAGAGAGGGGAATGCAGATGGGAAATATTTCAAGCAGAGGCAGAAGATGATCAGAAAGTCCCAGGCTCCTGCCTTCTGGAGCTCATAATCCAGTGTGAGTGACAGACACTAATCAGATCATCCTGCAGGAATGACAAGTGTAATGTAGTACGTGACGTGGCCCCAGGAGTGAAGTTTGAGCTGAGACTGAGTGAGGAGGAGGATTTAACTAAGTCCAGCGGAAGGGACGCATGTTCCTGGCAGAGGGAACAGCAAGTACAAAGGCGGGAGATAGGAGGGGACTTGGCTGTATCTGAGGCCCAGCAAGGAGGCCAGGGTGTCGGGAGGACACAACAGCATGGTGGGGGTTGAAGTCAAAGAGGTAAATGAGGGACCAATGCCTGTGAGGCCATTGAAGGGGCTTGGGCTTCCTCCTGAGGGTGCTGGGGAGCCATGGCAGAGTTTGGAGCAGGGGAAGGACAGACTCAGGTTTGTGCTGGTGAATAGGAGAGAGCAGAACAGGGGCGGAGAGACCACGCAGGAGGATGAGGAGCCAGGCCTGGAATGGGCAGGGGGCAGGTGTTCAAATGGCAGAAGGGTCAGAACTTAGGAAATGTCTGGCTCTGGCTGAGTGGTAGGGTGGCAAGTTCGGCGGTGGGTGGGGGAGATGTATGTTGCAATCAGTTTGGGCTTTCCCGCCGACAGAGCCTCAGTGACCTCCTCCATAAAATGGGATCAGCAGGCTTCCCTTGGCCCTGAGATCTTGGGGTACAATGCTCAGTGAAATCATTCGTGACACTTCTTGAGCCCCCTCAGCCTATCTCGTTTACTTCTCCCGCTGGCCCTAGGAGGGAGCACCTGTTATCCCCATTCTCTAGATGGGGAACAGGTTCATAATGGACAAATCAGTGGCCCAGAGCTTCACAGGATCTCCTGGCTTTGAATCCGGGTGGTGTGGCTCCAGAGGCTGTCTCTGGGTGAAGATAATCCTGAGCCCGGGGTCCCCTCACCTCCACCTCTTCCCTCTCCTCAGGACAAGCTTCTCTGAGCATCTCCGTGTCTAATAGCCAGATCCAAGAGAACGTGGTGAGACCCTGCCCATACCCCATGGTCCCAAGGAAGTCCTCTGCCTCCCACGCAGCCTCCTGCCCTCCCTAGTCTCCCCAACACCCCATCTCCATTTGCCCCCTTGACCCTCCCCATCCCCACCATGCAGGACATCGCCACTGTCTATCAGATCTTCCCGGATGAGGTGCTGGGCTCTGGGCAGTTTGGAGTGGTCTATGGAGGTATGGATGCTTCTGAGCTAATCCAGAGGGTTCCTGGGGGTTCCTGGGCTCCAGACCTTCCTATGTGATTGGCTGCGTGCTCACTTCCTGTTCTGCTTGACTTAGAAAGCTAGATCCTCGAGGCAGATGGATGCAGGCTCTCCTTTTCTCACTGGGAAAAGCCAATGGACTTTCTCCCCTTCTTAATAGGGAGAGTGAATTCTTCACTCTGATTGGCCACAGAGCTAGTTCCTAGATTCTGACTGGTTATAAATCTAGTTTCCCATGTGATGGATTTCCCTCCTCAGAGCTCTTTTCTTTTACCTTCTTCATTCCAAAGCTTTTATTCCCAGGGCCCCCCACCCCTCACATGCCTCCTGGAAACCCCTCAGAGCCACCTTGATGGCCTTCTGCCCACCTTTGTTCAACTATGCCTGTGTCTCTGTGGTGGTGGTGGTGGGTGGTGTTCCTTTTACCAGGACTGGAAGGTCTTGCTCCCTTCATCCCCAATCTCCCTAACCCCCGCCCAGGAAAGCACCGGAAGACAGGCCGGGACGTGGCAGTAAAGGTCATTGACAAACTGCGTTTCCCCACCAAGCAGGAGAGCCAGCTTCGGAACGAAGTGGCCATTCTGCAGGTGACCACCGGGCTCAGGGGCCAACTGACCCAGGCTGGGGGTGGTCAGGGAAGGCTTCCTGGAGGAGGGAATATGCATGTTGAGACTGAAGGGGTGGAAAGGTATTCTGGGCAGAGGGACCAGCTTGTGCAAAGAAAGGTCTAGAGGTGAGAGGGAACATGAAGTCTTCTAGGAATGTGAAGTTCGAGGTTACTAGATGGTTTATGTGTGGGGAGGTGGTGGGAGGTGAGGCCAGGGAGGCGGGTGGGGTCACACCCTATGGATTTTCTCCTGAGGGTACTGGGGAGCCATGGAAAGATGCTGAGCAAGAAGGGACAGGGTTGAGTGTGTACTTTAGGAAGATCTCTCAGGCTGCCCCCGGAGGGTGGGTGGAAAGTGGTGGGACTGGAACCTGGAGCCCAGGGAGGAGGCTGGGTGGGGACCTGGGGGGTAGAAATGGGGTTAGGCCAGGCAGGGCTTGGGGGGAGAGGGAGGAGGATTTACAACACAGAGATGTACAAAGGTCCTTCCCATTGTTCCAGACTTCTGCTCCCTCCCTCCCCTCCTCCCTCCCCCACAACCCTGGACCTTCAACAGAGCTTCATGATGTAAAGATCCTTCTAGATACCTGGTGGTGTGGGGATGTGGTTCTGTCTGTGTCTCTGGGAAGCCCCTCCCACCTCCCCCAGTGCCACCCCCCAGGGAAGGAGCTGCTGACTCTCCGGAGACATCCTTATTTGTCATCCGTCTGCTCCCATGGCTCGCCTCTGGGGTCCCAAGTTCATGGGCGACCTGGACCCTGACTGCCACCCTACCCTTCATCCCCACCCCAGAGTCTGCGGCACCCCGGGATCGTGAACCTGGACTGCATGTTTGAGACACCTGAGAAGGTGTTTGTGGTGATGGAGAAGCTGCACGGGGACATGCTGGAGATGATCCTCTCCAGTGAGAAGGGCCGGCTCCCCGAGCGCCTCACCAAGTTCCTCATTACCCAGGTGCGCCCACCCCCCCTGCCCCCTGCCCACCTCTGCCTGGCTCCCCACCTGCCCTGCGCCCAGCTCAGGCAGACACTGGTGGGAGTCCTAATAGCGGATAATAAAAAATAGAGAGTAATAATAACAACAATAGAAAAAATAATAGAACAATAATTTCAAAATAATAGAGTAATAATAGAAACAGACTGTAGAGTAATAAGAGTAATAACAATAGAAAATAATAAAACGATAAAAAGAATAGAGCAGTAGTGATAATTATAGTTATTAGTACAGAAAAATCAGAAATGATTATTTTATATTTTTTATTCCTTTATAGAAAGAGATTCCCTAAGGCCTGACTATATTCATGTAGGAAAAGGGAAGGGGAGGGAGGCCTTTCTGTGGGGACCTCATTCATCCATCTCTTGGGTGGTTCACCAAGGTCTCCCTCTTCCCCTGCTCTGTTCCCGGCTGCATGCCAGGCAGTGCTGGGGACACAGCTGTGACCAAGATAGCCCCAGGCCTGGACAACGATCACCCAGAGTGGGCAGGGTGGGGATGGGGGATGGTAACGGTGTGCCAGGCACTGTTTTAACTCATTTTATCTGCATCACAACCCATGTGGTAGTGGCCATGATTGCTCCCGTTTTTGAGTCGGAAAAAAGCAAGGCTCAGAGACTTTAAGTAACTTGCCCAGGGTCACACAAAGCTGGTGGGATGTGCACCTAGGATCCGGGCTTTTAACTAGTAATGTCCAACTAATTGGTGTCGCCTGTGTGTCATTCCTCCTCTTTCTTCACTTTAATAGTACTTCTGGAAGGCTATTCTATTTCGGTACGTAGAGCTGCCTCTTTTTCTGAATTGTATCCCATGATGGATATCACCAAGTCCTGTAATTGCTGAGTACAGAGGTTGTTTTCACTTGTCCACCTTTACAAACAACATCCTGTGAATATCTCTACACACATTGTTGAGCTCTGGTGGGAGAATTTCCATAGAACACATTTCAGATGATAGACTCCTGAGTCCAGGGAAATGTGTTTCAGGATTTTTTTTAAATATGCTGCCCGATTATTGTCTAAAATCCCTTTCAGTGTGCTCTCAACAATAGTTTGAGGGTGTCTACTTCCTCACTCCTTACTAACTCTGGATAAAATAATCACCAGTCTTATAGGTGGAAACATAATACTTCATGTGGCTTCATTTGGCAGTCTAAAAATTATGGGTGAGGTTGAGCATATTTGCCTATGTTTATTGGCCTGTGCTTTTTATACCCATTGCCCATTTTTCAGTTGGATTATTCTTATTGAATTGTGAGAGCTCTTTGTATATGAGGGACACTGGATCCTTCTCACTTGTGTTGTTCAATTTTTTTATCCCTGTACTTGTTTTCCTTTTCATTTGTTCATGTATTTGTTTTCATTTCATTCATGGCTTTTATTTGCCATAAAGAGTTTAACTTTTACAATGTTAAAGGTTGCCTTTCATGGCTTCTGGGTTTTACAGCCTTCCTAGGAAGGCCTTCCCATCCAGCTGGTCCCTCACCTGATTCTGGGACTCATTCTCTTGGTTGCAAAGTCCCTTGTGCTGCATTTCCTCTATGCAGGCCCAGCACCCTCGCTCTCCCCAGCACTGTGCCTTCATCAGGTTGGCTTGTGGGGTGGGGAGAGAAGCCCACTGAGGCAGGCTCATCCAGACTTCAGGAGAGAGAACTGCCGGCCTTCAGCAACTGGTTGGTTTCTCTTTCTGGTCTTCCATCTCTCCTTCTCTTTTTGCCTGTGCACCGCCCCCCACCCCCAACTCTCTCTGCAAATTTCTACCTTCCGCCTCTTGTCTGTCCCACCCCAAGTCCTGTGCTAGACCCTTTACCTCATGGGCTTGTTTATGCTTCACAACTGCCTTCTGAGGTAGGTATTACTAGCACCCCCATTTTACAGATGAGGAGACTGAGCTGGAGGGAGGGTCCGTGTCCTGCCCAAGATCACACAGCTCCGTGGCGGTCTGGCTGAGATTTGAACCCGGATCTGTCTAGTTTCCAACCTGCCCTCTTTGTTCTCCTCATGTACTAGTAGGGGAGAGGGGTGGTCAACAAACAGGAAGTCGGGAAAAGAAATACATACACACCGTGGATCTGTTTCCTGGCTGCAGCCTGAGGATTACACAGAATCAAGGAAGATCATAGTGTCCACAGATAAAGTGGTTGGAAATTGTATCCATTTTTTTGCTTTTTGTTTTGCAAATCAGCTTACCTTGCCATCATAGAATACTCTTGAATTAACAGAGCAGGAAAAGCTCGATTTGAAACACGCACAGAAATATGTTCATCTGTAGGCCATCCCAAAAAAGAGGAACAGGTACCAACAACAGTAATAGCTCATGTAGCGTTCGCTCTGTGCTAGACACTGTCCTAAGCACTTTCTATGCCTCAACGCATTTAAACTTCACAGCGACCCCTGAGGATGGGTACTTTTATTACCCGCTATTTTACAGGTGAGAACACTGAGACCCAGAGAGTTAAAAGTGGCTTGCCCGACGTCACAAGCTAGTGAGTGTAGAGCTGGGTTTTCCACCTGGGTAGGCCGGCTCTAGAATCCCCCTGCCTCTTAAGATTATTGCATTTAATATATAAAGTAGATCATATTGGTATTTGTACTGTTTCATATTAAGAGTTTTTTTTTTTAAATGGAGTCACACAATAGTACGTTCTTAAAGGCTGGTACTTTACTAATAACCCTGCCCCCACCTTTTTAGAGTAAACTCCAGGCCCAAGGTAGGGCTCGAACTCATGACCCAGGAGGTCACAGGTCGCCAGCTCTGCCAACTGAGCCAGCCAGGAGCCTCATATTAGCTCTTTTTTGTCAGGAGCTTACCACATGCCAGAGGGTCTCAGGCTCTTCCCAAACCCACTGCTCCAGTCGAGCATTTCTGGAATTATCCAACTCCTATCTCGGGAGTCATGGTTTTGGGGTTCTGAGATTCTTATTTGGGGCTCCAATGCCTCCCCCGGCCCTGGGGGGCATCCTTAGGGGTACAGCGAGGGGGCATGGATGGGGTTTGGAGGGCTGGTGGCAGAATGTGGGGCAGGTAGCTTTCCGCCTTTCTTACCGGCCCCACCTCCCCCCCTCAGATCCTGGTGGCTCTGAGACACCTTCACTTCAAGAACATCGTCCACTGTGACTTGAAACCGGAAAACGTGTTGTTGGCATCAGCCGACCCCTTTCCTCAGGTCAGTCATGGCCCAGCTTGATTTGGGGAAGTCCAGCTAACACTGGAGGCGGGTGGGGATTGTATGAATCAGGATAATTGGACACAGAGACTCACGATAACAATGACTTAAATAAAACAGACGCTTGTTTCGCACTCATGTAGGGTCCAGCATAAGCATTTTGAGGTTGAAAAAGCAGTTCCTTGGGGTCAGGTACTTGGCTCCGGCTGTCTTGTTCTGGCCTATGATGTTCTAGCCTTTATGGTTCATGATGGTCACCATCATGTGACAAGTTGGTAGGAGGGAGGAGGAAAGAAACAGGATGGAAGAAATGGACACACCCCCTTCCTTCCCGGACCGTGTGGAAGTTTACAAGGCACGTCTTCTAACATCCCATTGGCCAGGACTAGGTCACGTGGTCATGGATGGCTGCAAGGGAGGCCGGGAGATGTAGTCTTTATTCTGCGTGGCCCTGTGGCCCATTCAATTCAAGATCTTTATTATTAAGGGGGGAAATGGAGAACAGATATTGGGGGACAACTGGTAATTTCCTCTGTGGGTCTGTTAGGAAAACAGTTCTGATGAGCCTCGGGACTGGGCGGTGAGAACACCCACCAAGGGCAGAACCAGATTGGGTAGCGGTGATGATTATAACAGATACAGTTTATTGAGTGCCTACTGTGTTTAAGGGCCTACAGGTTCTCATGTGGCCCTTCCACATCCTGTAAAGTTTTTGCTTTATGATCTGTGTTTTGCAAACACTGAGTTCATTTCATTTCAAAAGCCAGAGGTTCATTTTATTCAACTAAGAATTGCTGTGTGACTACCATGTGCCAAGCTCCGTGTGGGGGCATCAGGAACTGCAGTAAGCAAAGACATCTCCTCTCTATGGCCAAGGAACATCCATCTCTACTAGCGGTTTACAGCTGGAGCGGTTTTGCCCCCTCGGGGACATGTGACAATGTTGGAGACATTTTTGGTTGTCACAGCTGTTGGGGGGTGGGGAAGGGTGCTGCTGGTATCTAGGGATACCAGATCCCACATTTTAGTAGCCATACTTAAAAAAGTAAAAAGAAACTGGTGACATTAACTTGAAAGGTTTTTTAAAATTCATTTCTGGGATGCCTGGGTGGCTCAGTTCATTGTGCGTCTGCCTTCGGCTGGGGTAATGATCCCAGGGTCTTGGGATTGAGTTCCGCATGGGACTCCCTGCTCAACGGGGAGCCTGCTTCCCCCTCTCCCACTGCCCCTCCCTCCTGCTTGTGCTGTCTCTCTCACACAAATAAGTAAATAAAACCTTTAAAAAAATAAAAAAGTAAGTTATTTCTAAGTAATCTCTACCCCCAGTGTGGGGCTCAAACCCACAACCCCAAGATCAAGAATTGCAGGCTCCACTGACTGAGCCAGCCAGGAGCCCCTGATGATATTAACTTTAATAATAATTCTTTATCCCAGTATATTCAAATATTATCATTTTAATGTATAATTGACATAAAAGTTATTAATGAAATGTTCTTTCTTTCTATACCACATCTTCAAAATCTGGTATTTAACACCTAGGACACATCGCAATTCAGATGTGAAATTTTTATCAGAAATATTTGATTTTGTGCTTAGATTTGAAAAAATTAGCAGTTGGAAAAGTAGACTGACATATCCAAGTTGTTCCAAGCATATTTAAAAGTTTTCCAATAACTAAGTCTAGGGTCTTTTTTTGTTTGTTTGTTTGTTTGTTAAAGATTTTATTTATTTGAGATTGAGAGAGAGAAATAACGAGCACAGGGGAGGGGCAGGGGGAGAGAGAGAGAGAAACAGGAAGCCCGACACAGGGCTTGATTCCAGGACCCAGAGATCACGACCTGAGCTGAAGGCAGACACTTAACTAACTAAGCCACCCAGGCGCCCCTGTTGGTTTTGTTTATAGTAAAAGATGATATTATTTTCATTAACATTTATTTTGGAAGGGACGCCTGGGTGGCTCAGTTGTTAAGCGTCTGCCTTCGGCTCAGGTCATGATCGCAGGGGCCTGGGATCGAGTCCCACATCGGGCTCCCTGCTCAGCGGGAAGCCGGCTTCTCCCTCTGCCTGTTGCTCCCCCTGCTTGTGCGTGCGTTCTCCCCCACTCTCTGTCAAATAAATAAATAAAATCTTAAAAAAAAAAACAAAACATTTATTTTGGAAGGGTAAAAGATTTTGACTGCCAGTGGAAACAGCTTACATCGACCTCATGGTTTCTTTCTGCTTCTGGAAGTCGTTCAGTTGTTAGTGGAAGCCTGGGAGGCAACATAGGATTAGTTTTTAAATGTAAATTAATGAAAATTAAATAAAATAAAAACTAATTTGTCAGTTGCTCTTGCCACATTCGAGTGCTCAGTAGCCACAAGGGGCCAGTGGCCACCATATTGGTCAGCACAGATCACAGAGGGAAGAGCAAATGTCGATCATGTTGTCACAAAAATAGAATTATATCCGTAATGAGTTCTGTGACGTGGTTCTCTGAGCTCACAGAACTGTATAGCCCATTTGGAGGGTCAGAGGAAAGACTCTGAAGAAAGAGTAGGAGTCCGTTTTTTGGATGGACAAGTATTCCAGGCAGTGGGAACAGCCCAGGCAAAGGCCCTTGTCGCAAGATTATCTGTACTTTTTTTTTTTTTTAAGATTTTATTTATTTATTTTGACAGAGAGAGAGAGAGAGAGAGACAGCGAGAGAGGGAACACAAACAGGGGGAGTGGGAGAGGGAGAAGCAGGCTTCCCGCTGAGCAGGGAGCCCAATGCGGGGCTCAATCCCAGGACCCTGGGATCATGACCTGAGCCAAAGGCAGACGCTTAACGACTGAGCCACCCAGGCGCCCCTGTACTTTTTTTTAAACAACTTTACTGAGATACAATTCACACACTATATAATTCACTGATTCAGAGTATACAATTCAGGGGCTCCTGGGTGACTCAGTCAGTTAAGCATCCGACTTTTTTTTTTTTAAGATTTTATTTATTTATTTGACAGAGAGAGAGGGAACACAAGCAGGGGGAATGGGAGAGGGAGAAGCAGGCCTGCCGTTGAGCAGGGAGCCTGATGCGGGACTCAATCCCTGGACCCCGGGATCATGATCTGAGCCGAAGGCAGATGCTTAATGACTGAGCCACCCAGGCAACCCAGCATCCAACTCTTGACCTCAGTTCAGGTCTTGATCTCAGGGTGGTGAGTTCAAGTCCCACATTGCGCTCCACACTGAGCTCCATGCTGGGCATGGAGCCTACTTTAAAAAAAAAAAAAGAAAGAAAGTATACAATTCAGTGGCTTTTAGTGTATTCACAGAGTTGTGCAACCATCACCACAGTCAGTTTTAGAACATTTCATCACCCCCCCAAAACAAACCCTTGTACCCCTTAGACATCATCCTCCAAACCCACCACCCCTCATCCCAACCACGAATCGACTTTTCTGTAGATTTGCCTCTTCTGGGCGTTTCGTATAAACAGAACATTCAGTAATAGCATATGTGGCCCTTTGTGACTGGTTTCTTTCACTTAGTTCATGTTTTCAGAGTTCATTTATGTGGTAGCATGGATCAGTCCTTCCGTTTCTTTTAACAGCCAAGTAATATTCCATTGTAACATCTGGAGAAAAGAGTGGATCTTTGGAAAGGAAAGGATCTTAGGACAGGACAGTATGGCTGTCACATCGAGTCAGTGGTTGGGCTCTGGCTGTTTTTGAGGGCAGGCAACAGAGACTTGGGGCTTCAAGGGTTTTGGACTCCATCTGGAGAGCCATAGTGAGCCACAGAAGGATTTTGAGCAGGGGAGGAACAATACATGAACAGAGATGCAGCACAGAGGTGGTACTGCCTATGAACTTGGTAGGAAGGAGAGCAGGACCTTGAACCTGGGTGTGGCTGGCTCCAAAGCCTGTCTGTGACCCTTGAGTGCCTCCACCATCAAGGGAAAGGTGGGCGTATACCTGTTACTGACTGCTGGCCATCACGGTCAGCAGTTTACACGCGGGGTCCCATTTAATCCCCAGGGAAGCCTGAGAGGAAGCTGCTATTAACAGCCCTGATACAGGTGACGCGGCTGGGGCCGAGAGAAATTAGCTCCTGCCCCTGAGACCAGTGAGGCTCTCTCTGAGCCAGACACTGAGCCCTGCACTTTCCATGTATTTTTTCATTCAACCCATACAACCACCCTTTAAGGTAGGGATTTTTCAGATCACCGCTGTGCAAAAGAGGAAATAGAGGCACGAGGTGGTTAAGAGACCTGTTCAGTGTGGCGGAAGTACAGGGACAGGTGGCACTTATTAAGCGCTCATGGCATACTGAGGAAACAGTTTCCATACATGGGAAACTGAGGCACAGGGAGGAAGTCACTCGACCAAGGTCCCTCGACCAGTGAGGGGAGAAACTGAGTTTTCTCTGTAACGCCATGGAGGGCGTGGGGCTGGGTCACTGGGCACGGGGCAGCCTTAACGCTCCTTCGGACCCTCCACCCCACGCCCTCTGCAGGTGAAGCTGTGTGACTTCGGCTTCGCGCGCATCATTGGCGAGAAGTCGTTCCGGCGCTCGGTGGTGGGCACCCCTGCCTACCTGGCGCCCGAGGTGCTGCTCAACCAGGGCTACAACCGCTCGCTGGACATGTGGTCGGTGGGCGTGATCATGTACGTCAGCCTCAGTGGCACGTTCCCCTTCAACGAGGACGAGGACATCAAAGACCAGATCCAGAACGCCGCCTTCATGTACCCAGCCTGCCCCTGGAGCCGCATCTCCTCCGGAGGTGGGTGGGGGCGGGATGGGGCGGGGGAGTGGGCGGGGCCATAAGAGGTGGGCCCGGAAACATCCTGGCTGTGGGGGTGGAGCCTGGCGGTGGGTGGGGCCACAGGGAGGGCGGTCCTTTAAACGCTGAGGTACCTTGGACCTGGAAGCTTGGGGCAGGGACTCAGGCGTGTGTATGGAACTGGTCAGGCCTAGTTCCCAGTTCACAGGAAACGAAGCGCTCCAGAAGCGCTGAGACAGACCCCTGGCGCTTTGGGGGCCGAACAAGGTTTGGGCTGTCTAAGGCGGGACCAGGAGAGGGACTACTAGACCTGAGGAAGCCATACAGCCGGGGTGGCCAGAAGGGGCGGATCCTTCCTCCCAAGGCATCGGCTGGGGCCTGGAGCCTTTGGGGTTACGACCCCGAAAGTGTTAGCCTTTCAAAAGCAGTGGTGCCGGAGAGCAGGGTTGAGGAACAAGGGCTGGGCTAATTTGCTGGGTGCTGGGCAGACTTGGGCCTGGGGCCGGGGGCAGGTCCGGTGATGAAGGGGCCTGGTTTAGGAGCGTGGCGAGAGGAGGGGCAGGGTCATGGAGCGTTTCTGAGGCTGTCCAGAAAGACCCATCCTGAGACCAAAATCACCTGGACCTGTGAAGAGGAGCGAGTGGGGGGAAGCTTAAGGGTAGGGTGCAAGGAGAGGGGAGTCAGGCCCGAGGCGGTCACTAGGATCCAGGGGCTCTGCTGTTGTGGCCGGGTAGTGGTACTGGGGCTTGTGACTTGGGCCTCAGAAAGTTCCCTCGGGAGGCCTATAATGTTGGGGCCCGAACAGGTGTAGGGGTGGGCCTACAGTGGGGCCAAGATCCCGGAGCATGTTAGGAAGCTGTAAGAACAAGGGGCAGGCCCTAGAGCGGGGGAGCTCAGGAAGACAGACGGAGGATGGGAGGGAGGTTAGAAGACAATCACTATTCATAACAGTTTATTCAACAAGCATGTTGAGTGCCTACTGTGGGCCCGGTACTGACTGTCCTAGGTTCTGGGAATACTGGGATGAATTGGAAAGAAGGGGTCGTGCGGGAAGAAGGTTGTCGAGGAGGGAAGGAACCTAGAGGGATATGGCCTCATGGAGCAGAAAGAGAGGGGGATGACGTGGGGGTTAGTGCAGGAAAAGGTGGCAGCAGTGGGCGCAAGAGAGGTAAGCACTAAGTGATAAGAATGGATTCACGAGTACTGGAGTAATACTGGAGGTCCTCAGCGTTGTGTTTTGGGACCTGCTCAGGAGTCTCAGTAAAAGTGCATCAGGTATGCGAGAATGAATTTGGTGTGGATGGACATGTGTGAGGGAGGCTGTGTGGACAAGGCCTATACTCAGAGGGCTTCACACAGTGAGGTCTTGTCCTTCAAGACTTCTGATCAAGGACAGCCTCGGATGAGTGCCGGCTTATCTTGAATGCCTGACGCTCGCTAATTTTTCTTTTCCTAAAGAACAGGCCTATCTCTGAGCCTCAGCAGGAAACCACTGACTGACTCCCTTCTTTTTTTTTTTTTTAAAGATTTTATTTATTTATTTGAGACAGAGAGAATGAGAGAGAGAGAGAGAGAGCGCGCGCACATGAGAGGGGGGAGGGTCAGAGGGAGAAGCAGACTCCCTGCTGAGCAGGGAGCCCGATGCGGGACTGGATCCTGGGACTCCAGGATCATGACCTGAGCCGAAGGCAGTCGCTTAACCAACTGAGCCACCCAGGCGCCCTGACTGACTGCCTTCTAATAATGTTGTTTTATTTTCATTTTATTTTTGTGAACATGGCAAGTGATCTTTGGATTTTCATTGGCCGGGGTGATATAATATTTCCATTACAAATAAATTTATTTTCCCCTTAAGTTTTTCAAGGGGAAAATGAATTTTTAAAAAAGTGAAGTGAGGGGCGCCTGGGTGGCTCAGTCGGTTAAGCGACTGCCTTCGGCTCAGGTCATGATCCCAGGGTCCTGGGATCGAGCCCCGCATCGGGCTCCCTGCTCCGCGGGAAGCCTGCTTCTCCCTCTCCCACTCCCCCTGCTTGTGTTCCCTCTCTCGCTGGCTCTCTCTCTCTCTGTCAATTAAATAAATAAAATCTCTAAAAAAATAAATAAATAAAAATAAAAAAGTGAAGTGATTTAAAGCCAAATGTTATCGATTTTTGCTTTGATCAAATATTGACGTGACTCAAATTTTTAAATATACAGAAGGGTCTGCAGTGAAAATCCTCTCTCACTCCTTTGTCTGCCATTCTTCCCAAAGGCAATGGCTATTACAAGTCTTTTAAATATGTACAAGCAAATATATGGACATATATTCTTTTATTTCCTCCTTTTACACAAGTGGCAGTGTACTATACATGCCGCTTTTTAACTTGCATTGTCCTCTTCACCGTATATCTTGGACCAATGGTTTGGCTTAAAGAAAAAATATATATATTTTAAAATATTTTATTTATTTATTTATTTGAGAGAGAGAGCGTGTGTGAGCAGGGAGAGGGGCAGAGGGAGAGGGAGAGAGAGAATCTCAAGCCGACTCCACGCTGAGCACAGAGCCCCATGCAGGGCTCAGTCCCACGACCCTGAAATCATGACCTGAGCCGAAATCAAGAGTCGGTCGCCCAGCCAACTGAGCCACCCAGGCGCCCCTGGCTTAAAGAAAAATATTAAGTGAAGAATAGTACAGGTGTACCCGTGTGTACCTCTGTATGACAAAACTTAACGGAGGTGACATAGGAATGGGGAAACTGAGGGAGAGGCTTGGTGAAGACATGTAGGAGCTAATGTGTATGCAGCGTCGGGGGAGAGGTGGACAAAATGGTAATTTAATGAGGAAATGAGTGGGTGAGCGATTGGTGCCGGCGAGGCTTCCAGGCCACCCGGGCCAGTGCAGAAGGCAGGCCGGGATGATAGCAGGTCGGCTGGAGTGGCCTGTTGGAGGAGGGGCGGCCCCTACCGCGCAGGGCTTGAACTGTCTGTCTCCTTCCCGCGCAGCCATCGACCTCATCAACAACCTGCTGCAGGTGAAGATGCGCAAGCGCTACAGCGTGGACAAGTCTCTCAGCCACCCCTGGTTACAGGTGATGCAGGGGGCGGGGCTTGAGAGGAGAGGGGAGGGAGGTCTCATTGGCTGGTTTGGAGGAAGGGGTGGAGCCCGATGGCTTATTGGCTGTGTAGGTGGTGAAGGCTGCAGGTACATTTTCCGTGGATCCGGAGCGTGGCTGAGCCTCCTATTGGCTGGGCTGTAGAAGGAGGCGGAGCTGAATTTCTATTGGCTGGGCAGGTTGCGAAGGGTGTGGCTTCACCTTCATTGATCCCGGGTCTGGCACTGGCAGGGCAGGGGCGCAGCTCAGCCGCTATGGGTCGTGCTCTGTGCAAGCTAACCCGTGTTCTCCCGGGCCCAGGAGTACCAGACGTGGCTGGACCTCCGAGAGCTGGAGGGGAAGATGGGCGAGCGGTACATCACGCACGAGAGTGACGACGCGCGCTGGGAGCAGTTCGTGGCAGAGCACCCTCTGCCCGGGCCCGGGCTGCCCCCGGATGGGGACTTCGGTGGGGCCCTCCCGCCGCAGGACCGCGAGATGCAGGGGCTGGCCGAGCGCATCAGCATCCTCTGAGGTGTCGTGCTCGCACTGTGGCTGCCCCATGATGCTGTCCCTCCGGTGCCCGGAGAGCGCCCCTCCGCACCATCTCAGCGAGGAACTGTTCTAAACAGAAGCGGCTTCCTGCCCAAAATGGATGGGACACACCCCAGGAGAGGAGCAGGGCGGGGGCCCGTGGCGGGTCAGGGATAGTTATTTCCAACCTGAACTCCCCAGCAATTAAAACGAACTCATCTCTGGCCCCATGGCCTCGGTCTCTGGCCACACCGCACTCTCTATCATGAGTCTGTTCACCAAGATGGAGTTCCCCTGGAAAGAGGACTGTCTGAGAAGGAGGCGGCAGGGAGGGGGGGATGGGAGAGGTGGGAGAGAGGGGCTGAAGGCGGAGGAGTTCTGGAAGGAGGACCAACTGGGGTGGGAAATCTGGAGGGAGGACTAGAAGGGGGAAGATTAGGAAGGGTAGCAGCAGGAGGACAGGGAAGAGAAAAGCACGGGGAGTTCGAGATGGAAGGAGTATGCCAGGTGGGGGAGATGGATGGAGGAGCATGACTAGAGGGAGAGAGTGTTGAGAGCAAAGTAATCCCATGGCTTGTTTGATCCACTTTCTTGGTCGGTGGTATTACTACTAATCACAACTACTAATAACGACAATGCCATTAGCACAAGTCTGGTCCATAGTAGAAACCTGATCCACAATATTTAGTATTTTAAATTGATGCAATGACTTCTCTACACACCAAATGTGCTCATTTACTAATTCATTCATTTGTCATGCTGGGTGCTGGGCGATGCTGGGGACATGGTGGTGCCTGAGACAGCCCAGACCCTTCCCTCAGGGGGTTCACCATCCCGTGGAGAGACAGACCTGTCTGGGGACAGTGATGACCCAGAGTGGGCAAGACTGGGATGGGGGAGTCCAGAAGGGTGGGGCAGCTTTGAGCGAGCCTGAGGGTCAGGAAGGTGGGTCTTCTGATCTGACTTCTCAAACGTCATCTTGGCTCTGAGGTTGTAGGCAGAGGGAACATCTCTCCACCTTTGACCCCTGACCTCCAGATTCTCCAGCTCCTCATTGTCACAGCTGAGGGTGAGCGATTGGAGCGTGCACCTAAACAAGCCCTTTCTAAACACTCAGACTTCCACACCATAAAGACTTTCCTGAACCCTGGGGAAATGGGCTAGTACAGGGAGCTTACTCTGTGAGGCTTCCTGGTGTATGTTAGCTCGCCCGTCTGCTGGTTGGCTCCAGAGCTACAGCTCTTTGATTTAAAGAAGCGCAGAGGGGCGCCTGGGTGGCTCAGTCGGTTAAGTGTCCGCCTTTGGCTCCGGTCATGATCCTGGGATCGAGCCCCACTTCAGGGTCCTTGCTCAGCGGGGAACCTGCCTCTCCCTCTCCTCCCCGCTCGTGCTCTCTGTCACTGTCTCTGTCTCTCTCAAATAAATAAAATCTTTAAAATAAAGAGGCACAGATGAGCCTCAGTCAGTGAGGATCTCCAAATGAACAAGAATGCCTTTGAGGCATAATTCGAGCTAATAATATTGGGAAATATTGGAGTCTCTTTGATGGCATCCTCAATGCCTCTCCCTCTAAAACTGACTGGCCTAAGATCCAAGGGGGTAGACAACAGAGAGACAACTCCATCTCCAGTGACAGAACCAAGCTAAGAAGTGCATGGACCAAATACTCAGGTCCAGTCCTGAATAAACACACTGCTTCTATCTTGACCACCAGTTTCGTTAACACCCTGAGACCAGAAATTAGAGATATGATCATAAACATAAACTTAGGGGCGCCTGGCTGGCTCAGTCGCAAGAACGGGCGACTCTTGATCTCCGGGTCGTGAGTTCGAGCCCCACGTTGGGTGTAGAGATGACTTAAATGAATAAATAAATAAAAACTTAAAGGAAAAAACCCATAGGGCGCCTGGGTGGCTCAGTTGGTTAAGCGTCTGCCTTCGGGTCATGATCCCAGGGTCCTGGGATCAAGTGCCGCATAGGGCTCTGCTCAGCGGGGAGTCTGCTTCTCCCTCTGCCCCTCCCCCCACTCATGCGAGCGCGCGCGCTCTCTCTCTCTCTCTCTCTCTCAAAAAAATAAACAAACAAAATCGTAAAAAAAAAAATCCATGATGTCAGATGGGAAAATACTGATTGCAGAATTCCATGAGATAGTGCAACATCATGAGGATGTCATGGCAAATCAAATCAAAGCCACATAATGTCACTTAAGGCCCCACAACTTAAACAATTAGAGAAGAAAAAGCCCATCCTATCACGGCTCTCGGATACCACCAACCCTGATCTTGACAGAGGCACAAACTTGTAGGGGCTAAAATTTCATTTTTCCAAGGATTCCCTCCTGGCAGGCTTTCTCTGTGCCTATAAACACCCCTCAAGCCACAGGTGAAATGACTATCCCCATTAGTGGGTATCCTACCCCATTTTAGACACAGGGGCCACACCCTCCCCATAAATATCTCCCAGCGCCCCCGCCCCCCTGTCAGTACACAGCAATGATTAAGATGAATCCCACAGTTTGCCACGTGTTTATGCTTGTCTAAGTCACTCTGTGACTCATTAGGCCCCCTTACTACCCAGCACGGGTTATACCCAAACTACTCCAAGAAATCTTTCAGGAAGGGATATTCTTTCCATCTGCAACGTCAAGATTTCATGTTCACAAGAGAGCCCATGTCTCGAAGTCCCGGACTACTCCTATCCATCTCAGCCCGCCACCCCTCCTACTCCCCTGCCTCCCCCCCAAGAAAACCCCATCAAACTCTCCCTCAAGCCCACATATTCAAGACACGCTGCCCCGCATTCTGATTCTCTTTGGGCCTCGGCAACATAGGGTGCATCTTGGAGGCTGAACCTCTCTCCACGTGGCAGTAGAACCTTCACGCCCTTCCTGAAACTGACTTCACATGCCTCCACTCGTCACTCGGGGTCTCCCATTCCCACCCCCAGACCCTGCAGCACTCCCACATTGTCCGTCTAGAACCCCAGTGTTACCCTGGGGATATGGCCAGTCCAAGACCCGTAGGCCATAAATAAAATAGTCAAACTTAGGTTCCCGTGAGTTCCCACTCCAAACACTGTCCTGGCCTCTCCTCTACCTTCCAGCACCCTCCACTTTACTGGATTAACACCTCCTCTACACATTCTTTCGTATCCCTCTACGTCTGATTCACAATCCTTTTGTTTTCACCTGGGAAAGTCAACAATACACGGGGACAGGTATGCCTCAAGAGTTCACCGAAGCCCCTCCTTACTTTTCTGGGACTCTGAATGCTAATTTGTGGGATGTGGTTTTCCCTCGCAATACCCTTCAGATCCAAAATGTGGCTGATCCCTCACCCAGCTCACTCTCTGACACTCAATACTTACCCCAAGCCCTTGCTTACAGGGACACAAGGTACCTAGGGAAGGATTACAGCCCCGTAAGGCACACTATCTAGGACATGACTTTGCACCCGAAGGCTAACTTTATCCACGGAATGAATTTATCCCATCGTTAATTTCACCTTTTACCCAAGACTAAAACGCAACTCCAGTGGTTTCTGGGCCTGTTATGGGTTGAACTGTGTCCACCCCCCCCCAAAAAAGGTATGTTGAATCCTATCCCCCAGTACCTCAGAATGTGACCTGATTTGGAAATAGGATGGTTGCAGATGGGATTGAGCACCGTCCCCTCAAAGACCCCTCCCAACTCACCGCTTGATTGTCACAGCAAAACTCTCCCTGTCCCTAGCATCTATGAGTCAGGATTTATGTGCTCCTTCCACAACTTCCCTGACGGCCCCTTCAGGGGACTCAGTCTCCGGAAACTTTTACGTGGTAAATGACACGGTGACAACCCTAATGGCAGGAACCACCTCCTCACTGAACTCACCCAGATTTTCCAGCTATCAAAATATTGCTGATCCCGAGTCAACTGGTGCCGCTCACAATTTCTCTTGGTATCAGTGGCATCACCCGTCTTGTGACTCATTTCATGGTCCCAGTCCTGTCCCTGCATCTTTTCCTTGGTTTTCCACCTTTTTTCTTTTTTTTTTTATTTTTTATTTTTATTTTTTTATTTTTTTTTAAAGATTTTATTTATTTATTTGAGCGAGAGAGAATGAGAGATAGAGAGCACGCGAGGGAAGAGGGTCAGAGGGAGAAGCAGACTCCCCGCTGAGCAGGGAGCCCGACGCGGGACTCGATCCCGGGACTCCAGGATCATGACCTGAGCCGAAGGCAGTCGCTCAACCAACTGAGCCACCCAGGCGCCCACCTTTTTTCTTAAAAATATTTTCTTTATTTATTTGAGAGAGAGAGCGTGTGCGCAGCAGAGAGGGAGAGAGAGGGAGAAGCAGGCCCCCCGCTGCGCAGGGAGCCCGATGAGGGGCTCGATCCCGGGACCCCCGGGATCATGACCTGAGCCGAAGGCAGACGCTTAACCGACTGAGCCACCCAGGCGCCCCTGGTCTTTCACCTTTAATCAACATTTAAAACAACAACAAAAACAACAAAAAACAAAAACAACAAACCTCACAACATTTATTTTCTGACCCCTCAAATAAATAAGACAATTATTTCCATGAGTCTTGGGATTGCCCCCAATGATGTGTATTTTATGCGTAAAGATTTTGCAGACTGATATCTACCTACCAGAAACTGGACTGGCTTCTGTTATCTTGCCAATCCTGTCAGTCCTTTTCAGGGTTTTGAGTCCTCTTCATTCTATCAATGTCTAAACTTCACTCTTTCTTCCCTCAAAGCCCCACCCAATTCCCCAGAAACATAAGAGATCTGCCACATCCTGTGAAGGCTGAAAGTCACCACGCAGACACACGATCCAGTATGACCATGACCCCTTCTTTCATTAGCATCCAAAGGAGGCTTGGAACAAGAAGCCAAATGCTTAGCAGTAAGCTCCGAGGATTTCATACGGCCTCCAACCAGGTTTGGGCAACTTCAGTACCAGGTTAGGGACTTCCAAGGGAAGGACTTGTGTGCTCTCGTTGGAAGCTACTGCTGCACATTCATTTCTGGGGACTCCTCAGACCTGATCATCATCGGTAAGAACATCAAGAGGCCACCGAGGAAATCTGCAGAATTGTGACCGCTGATCTGACTCCATCAACTAAGGATCTCTCTGTACCTCCTTCTGGGAACCCTTGCAACTGGCTGCCCTCGGGCCTCCAATCTTGGTGTTACTCCCTTATTCAACCATTAATAATTCTCTTTTTATTGCTCTTCCTAGGAATACCCATCTGTGAATGCCCAGT